ACTGACTGTGCTATTTTCTCTTCTGTGTGTGACTTGGAATCTCTTATAACTTGCTTTGCCTCTTTCTGCCTAATCTTATAGATCATTTTGTCTTCCTCACTCTGGTTTTTTTTTATAATTACTAAATGCTAACTTTTTGTTTTTAACTATTTTGGCCACATCTGCGGAGTACCAAAGTGGTTTCTTGAATTTTTCCTTTTACTGACAGGCCTAATGCAATTTTCTGTTGCCTCCAGTAGTGCAACTTTGAAATAATCCCATTTCTCTTGGACTCCATTTAAATTGCTCCAATCTGATAATGACTCCTTTACACATATTCTAATTTTAGAAAAGTCTGTTTTTCTAAAGTCTAAACCTTAGAAGCGACAGAATAAAGAGAGAAGCGACAGAATAAAGAGATGAAATGAAAAGTATGCTGTTTGCAATAAACTTTGCATAAAATAGTGAATTTGCATTCAATTGTAATGGTTCAAAGAATGTCAGGCAAAATGGTTGGCCCTCACGCATGTTCACTTAATCAAATCTGGCCCTCTTTGAAAAAAGTTTGACCACTCCTGTGCTACAGAGACAGACAGGAGACATACTGCTTGTGCTGAAATATAGAATCAGACTTGAATTCCACATGTAAATACAAGCTCTGATACATAAGTAGCATAAACTAGGTAGAATACTGGAGACAGGATGAGTACTTTCAACATCGGATCGATAACAGGTACAGGACAATAAAGAGTCAAACTCCTATCAGCCGTGGTACCACTCTTTGAGCCCTCCTAATAGCCGACTTAAGAGAAGGTATGGGGGTATTGAAAATCTGCTGCTGATCTTGTTAAAGGAACTCTCCAGTACCAGGAAAACAATCCGTTATCCTGGCACTGCAGGTCCTCTCTCCCTCCCACCCCCATCCCAGGTTGCTGAAGGGGTTAAAACCTCTTCAGTGACTTACCTGTATCCAGCCCGATGTCCCTCAGCATTGGTTCAGGCTCCACCCACACTCCTCCTCCGCCGTCATCCGGCGGGGGAGACTTATTGCACATGCGCAGCCGGCGACGAGGGAGACCTAATGTGCATGCACGGCAATCACGCGCATTATACCTCCCCACAGGAAAGCATTCAAAAAGAGTTTCCTATTGGGATTTCAGCGACGCTGGAGGTCTGCACATAGCGTGAGGACGTCCAGCGACCCTATAGCACAGAAAATCTGTGCTATAAACCAGGAAGTGCCCTATAGTGGCTGTCTAGTAGACAGCCACTAGAGGAGGGGTTAACCCTGCAATGTAAATATTGCAGTTTATGAAAACTGCAATATTTACAGTTGCAGGGCTAAGGGTAGTGGGAGTTGGCACCCAGACCACTCCAATGGGCAGAAGTGGTCTGGGTGCCTGGAGTGTCCCTTTAAGCCACAGATTCTTAACCCTTGAGTGTCCTTCAACCATTAAAGGGCTATTAACCCTTATAAACCTAGCATGCATATAATAATGGAATGTGGAAAATGTATAAAAACATTTTTTTTAAAATCTAAAGATAAAATATACATTTGAAAAAAGGATATACTAATAAAAAGGAGAACAAGGACAGATCTTCTAAATTACAAACCACTATATAAAGCTACCATTATTGACATAATTTATATCAAACTTCTCATTAGAACCTTTATAAATACAATCTCTCTATATATATCAAAATTGGTAAAAAAATAATGTAAAAAATCATGTATCTTTAAAAAATTTATCTGATTCTGTACAGAAGAGTAAATATACAGACTAGAATCTTAAACAATTATCCAAAAATTATACCCATATTAGATCAGATAAAAATCAGTTGAGCAAACACCATTACAAATAATTTTTTAAAGGGGACATGCGTTATTTACAGTAAAGCATAGTGACATCCAGGGCCGTCTTTAACGCGGGGCAAATGGGGCAGCTGCCCCGGGCCCAGTTTCTCTTGGGGGGCCCGAGGCACCTGCCCCGTGGGCCCCGCTGACCCCGGCGGGCGGGTGGCCGGTCGGGCAGGAAGGCGGGCGCGCGAGGGAGCACTCACTGCTTCCTCTTCAGCTCCCTCGCGCACCGCACTGATGCCGGAGCCGGAAGATGACGTCTCTTCCGCCCGCATCCCTACGGGCGCGCGAGGGAGCTGAAGCTGTGATAATCCTTTCGACTAATCAGCAGCACCACTGGACCCCAGGGAATCCCCCCAGCACTCCAAAAGGTAAGGAGGCTGGGGGGATTATATTTTTTTTTTTTTTAAATGTGTGTTTGTGTGTATGTGTGTGTTTGTGTGTGTGTGTGTGTGTGTGTATTTGTGTGTTAGTGTATGTGTTTGTGTGTGTGTGTATTTGTGTGTTAGTGTATGTGTGTTAGTGTATGTGTGTGTTAGTGTATGTATGTGTGTGTTTGTGTGTCTGTTTGTGTGTTAGTGTATCTGTGTGTTAGTGTATGTGTGTGTTAGTGTATGTGTGTGTGTCAGCATGTCTGTGTGTGTGTCAGTATGTCTGTCTGTGTGTCAGTATATATGTGTGTGTATATCTGTGTGTGTCAGTATGTGTATGTGTCAGTATGTCTGTCAGTGCGTCAGTATGTCTGTTAGTGCATGTGTATGCATGTGTCAGTATATCTGTCTGTGTGCCAGTATGTCTGTGTGTGTGTGTGTCAGTATATCAGTCTGTGTGTGTCAGTGTATGTGCCTGTGTGTGTGTGTCAGTATTTCTCAGTGTATGTGGGTGTCAGTATATCTGTCAGTGTGTGGGTGTCAGTATTTCTGTCAGTGTATGTGTGTCAGTATGTTGATCAGTGTATGTGTCTGTGTGTGTGTGTCAGTATGTCGGGTATATGTGTCTGTGTGTCAGTATGTCTGTATATGTGCCTGTGTCAGTATGTCTGTCAGTACGTCTACCAGTGTATGTGTCTGTGTGTGTGTCAATATATGTACCTGTGTCAGTGTGTCTGTCAGTGTATGTGCCTGTTTATCTGTATGTAGTCAGTGTATGTATCTGTGTATCTGCTTGTGCGTCAGAGTGTGTACCTGTGCATCTGAGCCGCAACTTTAAATACAAATACACCCCTCCATTCAAACTTCAACACTACATATAAAACACACTCCTGCATTGAAACGTCAACACTACATACAAGCACACTCCTACATTCAAAAACAAACACTACACATAAATGCACACTTGCATTCAAACTCTAGTACCACATACAAACACATTCACACAAACATACTCCATACAAACACATGCTTACATTCAAACATACTAACATGGCTCAGTGCTAAATACAACCCTGCAAGCATGGGAAATTGGTAGAGTCCCAGCTGTCAAAGCATTGTTGGAGTTGCACGACAGATGGGGTTCTACCTTTAGTCCAACCTTGCAATTGGGGGTCCCAATAAAATTCATTCTACTTTAGTACCGCCACTGCGTTGGGATGGATGCCGTGATTGCATACCAGGGAGTGAGGGGCGAGAGCGGCAGGGCACAGGGGGCCCAAGCAAACACTTGCCCAGGGTCCATTCGTTATTAAAGACGGCCCTGGTGACATCATTCAAAACCCTACAATATGTTTAATTTGCATAGAGTTAAGAACAGAGTACCAGAAAAACATTGCGTGTTGTGAAATAACCTGTACAGGACCTGCAATATTCACATCAATATCTCCGCTGGCAGACTTATCATATCCAGAAGCAGCATAGTTTAGCAATATTATCCCAATTCCCCAATAACCGGACGATACACAGCTTTGGGAGTCAACTGGTTTTTATTGAGCCACAGCTGGCTTTATTATAAAACTCCCCATGCAAGGGGTTTCTTTAATTACATTCCAGGGGTTTTCCCCTGGTGGACCTTGTTGGGGACAGGGTACAAAGCAACACTTCCCAGACTCGTCCTCTGTACTTGGAAGATAATTGAGTAAGGACAATTCTTTAATTACAGAATCTTCCAATCTTCCAAGTACAGAAAATAATATTTCAAACCATCATAACTTACATTAATATTAGTCAGAACTCCACAAAAGATACTTCACTGAATAGCAGGGATCTGAGCGCCCACCCTGTCGAAATATCGCTCAGATCCGTTCGGTAGAATAGGAACGCCATTCGATTTAAGTTTAGACCACGATATGAAGTCCCAAAATAGTTCCAGGTGGTTGTATGCTTTGACTGGTGTTCTTTTGGGAGTTTTTAACATTAAAATAACGAATGTAATGGTTCGTGTAATAGGGGGTTGTGTGCCTTGTGTTCGTTAGTTTTGTTCATTTGAATGCCGCTCTGTATATGTGAAGGGGAACAAACATACGAATGGTTTTGTTCCATGCGCTCGATGACCAAACACCGCTGTCTGTTTGTGAACAAAGATGGCCGCAGCCACGTGTTCAGTCATACGAACAACGACCACCCGTCTGACCATTTAGAATCTTATGATTTCTAGGTGTTGTGATCCTTGTCAGCAGGTAGCACGGTCCTCTAGGGCAAAAACATGCACAGTCCTTTGCTTTGCATATAATCTAGTCACTTTATTGTTAAATCCACACAGGATACAGCAGTAAATTAAAACATAAATGTAACACAAAACCCTATAAACAAAAACCTAGCTCGGTCTGAGCACTAACTAACTTTGAACGTCCCTCTCTATCAGGGTTAAACTAACAAAACATATGGCACCAACCTTATTAGTTAGCAACACTCTGCTGGCTAGCCTGTTGCGTTCCTTTCCTGCACTCCCAGTGCTCCAAGCCAGCCTTGCCCTGACTGCTTTCCTTTCTGCACTCCCAGTGCTCCAAGCCAGCCTTGCCCTGACTGCTTTCCTTTCTGCACTCCCAGTGCTCCAAGCCAGCCTTGCCCTGACTGCTTCCTTTCTGCACTCCCAGTGCTCCAAGCCAGCCTTGCCCTGACTGCTTCCTTTCTGCACTCCAAGTGCCTAGTCTCCTTGACTCTATCTGGAGAGAACAGCCTCTCTCTCCTACCTGCTTCCTGGGAGGAAGCCAGCAATCCCTCTCCTTTACCTGCCTAGCAGGGAGGAGTTTATTCCCACTGCAACAGCTCATTAACTGCAGCTGAGCAGTGGGTTGGAGACGATCCAAAAAACCCTTGCCTGGATCCATGTCTCCCCAGAAAACCACTAAACTGTGGAGTGGAGAATTGGCCCACCCTTCTCTCCAAATGCTCCACCCCAGGGGCCCATAACTAAACAATGTTTTGTGTTGCCTACAACACATCCTACACATACTCCCCCTGGGGTTAAATGTTGTAGGCCTATCTGCCTTCACTTTATCACAGTGTGAATACCGTCAATTGGAGGCACACGACTCTCCTGGGTGGTCTCGCTGTTCGGTAGTTGGATCGACTGACAAACAATATGTCTTTAGTCTGTTCGGGAATCCAAAATTGTTGAACCAACTCAGTCTTGCATATAAATAGGTGGCTAGTTTTGCCACATAACCCATTCAAATAGAGGGGGCAGGGTGTGAATAAGATCTAGGAAAAGGATTAAAAAATGATGTACATTCAGAAACTAAAAAGGATTAGGCATTGGAAGGATATGGAAAGTTATCACACAGTAGAGTCATAATGTCCATTATTATAGAAAATTTATCCATACTTACCGTAATTTTCTTTTCCTGGCTATTATTCATGGCAGCATTTACCTATGGGTTAGCTCCCCCCTCTAGCCAATAGGACAGGAAAAACTTAAATTAAACAGAGGACAGGTATATCAGGCTCTATGCCAGCCGAGTTCTTCAGTCCAGTAACAAGCTTGTCCTCCACAGTGGGAGGGAACGTTAAATGCTGCCATGAATAATAGCCAGGAAAAGAAAATTACGGTAAGTATGGATACATTTTCTATATTCCTGGCTAATCATGGCAGCATTTACCTATGGGACTACCCAAGCAGTAAAAACCACAGGGAGGGAAGTAATGCAAAAAATTATTTATTAAACCTGTACGGAATTTAGAACCGAAAGACCAAATTGTGATTCAGCCGATGTGGCAACATCCAATCTATAATGACGAATGAAGGTTCTGAGTGAAGACCAATTAGCCGCCTTACAAATGCTCTCTACAGGAACACCAGCTGCTGCAGCCCATGAAGTAGAAATTGACCTCGTAGAGCGTGCTCTGATCCCTTTGGGCAAAGGGACCCCTTGAGCCCTATACGCTCTAGTAATAGCTGTGATGATCCAAGAACGGAGAGTAGCAGTTGAAGCGGCTTCACCCTTACGAATTCCCCAGGGAACGATAAACAACTGTTTGGACTTCCTCCAATCAGCAGTACGTTGAATGTAGGATGATAAACATCATTTGAGATCTAGTTTGTGACACCTTTCTTCCGCAGAAGAAGCTAGATCAGGAAAGTAATCCGGTAGGATAATTTCCTGGTTCAAATGAAAAGGATGTTACTACCTTAGCTAGGAATTCTGGTCTTGGACGAAGATTTACACGGTCATGAAGGAAGGCTATGTAAGGTTCGTCAACCGAGAGGGCTTTAATATCAGCAATTCTCCTAGCTGATACTAATGTCAGAAGGAGTAAAGTCTTGTGAGAAAGCATGGTGATTTAGATATCCTCCAAAGGCTCAAACGGAGAATCTGTAAGAGAATGTAAAACCAAAGGAAGGTCCCAAGGGGCCGTAAAGGAACGGATGGGAGGTCTGATTCTGATGACTGCTTTAAAAAACCGAAACATCAATGGATCTTCAGCCCATTTGATCCAAGAAATGGCAGATATAGCTGAACCTTAAGTGTATTGAGGCCCATGTCCAGTCCGGCTTGTAAAAATTCCAATACCTGTAAATTTGTGACTTCTTCTAAGGAATGAACTTCCTTCTTCAGCCCGTCTGCTAATTTCTGCCAAATTCTGTGATACGTTTGAGAGGTAGAAACCTTCCTGGGACACAGCAGAGTAGACACCAGCTGTTCTGGGATCGCCTTTTTAAGAGCCAGGCCTGAAGCCTTTGAAAGAGGAATTTTCCAGGGATCGTCTGTAACGGCACCCTGGCATAAAAGGGGTTAAAAGCCGTTAAGGAGATATTCCCTTCCACATATACAGGCAGCTACTGTAGACACCAATCCACCGAACCGGAGAAGCATATGAAAGCTGTAAACAGCCGAATAGGAAAAACCATACGAAAGGTTTACACTCCTAGCAGTCGAACTGGGACAGCATACAATAAATCCCCCCAAGAACGAGACAAAGCTCCGTGTTGAGGGTCAAGCAGGAACAGACAGAGTTGTGGGTTTATTGTTCTTTTATACACATTAGTACCACCCACAGGGTTTTGGAAAACAACCAATAAACACGTACAATACACTCAGACACTCCCACACAAAATCCTCCCCTCTGCCTGTGACACAATTACCTTACACAATGGGTAATGTAATTATCACAAGCAGAGAAATACAGTTTTTCCACATTATTTATAACTTTAAAAGTATGCATCACATTCACATAACTTACATTTTCAGAATCAGCATACTCCAAATACAAACATATGTCAAAATCATCTACATTTGTCCATTGGTTCAAAAGATAGATCGTAGTCCTTTGTGACCAAAAGAAGCATGGCTTTTCTGCCCAAAACCAGTTCCACAGAGTCTTCTATCCTGGAGATAATTGGGAAGTAATCCAATTATCTCCAAGGACAGAGGCAAAACTCCATTGAACACATGGCAGCAAAAGACAATAAAATACATAAAAATATATAACTGTGCAGCCATTGCATAAACAGGTACATTCAACATATCCCCAGATAGCTCAGATCTGAGTGCACAGTATTACTGAATGGTGCTCAGATCACACACATACAGTTCAATTGTCATGGAGCCAAAGTCTTTCCCATAGTCTTTCATTATACGAATGGGCTCCATGGCATAGCTATCTGAGGTATCACTGCTCAAACAGGGCAAGCACCGAATGACCCGGCTTTCGTGTCTTTGCAGGGGAAAATCAAGCTTTTTAACATGGGGCCATAGTCCAGAGGCAACATGCGGGCAGCCAGGCTTCTCCAATGCAATGTGGCGAGATTGGTCTTGTCACATCGTCTATCATCAGTCTCCTCAATAGGGGGAACCACGGCCGCGGAGGGCAAAATGGCTATCACCTTGGAGTTTTCCTTAGATCAGGGATCGCCTTTTTAAGAGCCAGGCCTGAAATCTGAGTTTGTGTGGTTCCGGATGTTGAAGAGGTGCCTGGGACAACAGGTCCTTTGAAAGAGGAATTTTCCAGGGATCGTCTATCATCAGTCTCCTCAATAGGGGGAACCACGGCCGCCGAGGGCAAAATGGCTATCACCTTGCAGTTCTCCTTATATCGGGGATCGCCTTTTAAGAGCCAGGCCTGAAGCCTGAGTTTGTGTGGTTCCGGATGTTGAAGAGGTACCTGGGACAACAGGTCCTTTGAAAGAGGAATTTTCCAGGGATCGTCTATCATCAGTCTCCTCAATAGGGGGAACCACGGCCGCCGAGGGCAAAATGGCTATCACCTTGCAGTTTTCCTTAAATCAGGGATCGCCTTTTTAAGAGCCAGGCCTGAAGCCTGAGTTTGTGTGGTTCCGGATGTTGAAGAGGTGCCTGGGAGAGCAGGTCCTTTGAAAGAGGAATTTTCCAGGGATCGTCTATCATCAGTCTCCTCAATAGGGGGAACCACGGCCGCCGAGGGCAAAATGGCTATCACCTTGCAGTTTTCCTTAGATCAGGGATCGCCTTTTTAAGAGCCAGGCCTGAAGCCTGAGTTTGTGTGGTTCCGGATGTTGAAGAGGTGCCTGGGAGAACAGGTCCTTTGAAAGAGGAATTTTCCAGGGATCGTCTATCATCAGTCTCCTCAATAGGGGGAACCACGGCCGCCGAGGGCAAAATGGCTATCACCTTGCAGTTCTCCTTGGATATTTTCTTGAGGACTTTCAGTATCAAAGAATGGGGGGAAAGACGTAGGCTAGCTCGAAGTTCCACTTCACTGAGAGAGCATCCTGGGCCATAGCCTTGGGATGAAACTGTCTTGAGATGAAGGTCGGTACTTGTGCATTCTGTGCTGTGGCCCCACCGATGGACCAATTGAAGGAATACCTTCCTGGAGAGTTGCCACTCAGTTTCCTCTATCCATTGTCTGCTCAGGAAATCTGCTAACACCTTCTCTTTCCCTGGGAGAAAAACAGCACACAGACCTGCCAAATTCTTCTTCGTCATGAGAGGTAAAATCTCTTTCCTTAGTGCAGTGCTCCTGGTACCACCATGGTGGTTGATATAGGCTGCTGTGGCCTTGTTGTCTATCTGGATTTTCACCCATCTGTTCCTCAGATGGCCTTGAAAGTGAAGGAGGACCAGAAAGGCTGCTCTCAGTTCCCTGATATTTGAGGGCAATTGGTGGGCATGATGAGGCCACGGTGCTTGGACAAACCATCTTCTGAAATGCCCCAACCTGACTGGCTCGCATCGGAGGTTACTATCCACCAATCTATGTTCTGTAGAGGAAACCCCCGGGATATATGATTCCAAGACAGCCACCACTGGAGGTCCTGCTTCAGATGTCGTGGGATGAAAAGGGCAGTTTCCCATTCTTGAGAACTGGCGTTGAAGTGGTCCAGCAGGTACCTTTGTAGCGGACGGATGTTCCACTGAGCCCATCTGACGAGGCCTATCATTGATGATAAAGTGCCTAGTAACTTCATGAAATCCCTTGCTGGAGCCGAAGACCGTTGACGAAATTGACGCACCCTGTGCAGTAGAGTCATCTTCCTTTCGTGGCCTAAGGATACAACCACATTTATGGTGTTGAAATGAGCCACTAGAGGGGGCGGAGCCAAGCAAGCAAACCGAACAGACGTGCAGAGCTGTAGCTCCGTACCAACAAGCCTAAAAACAACAGCTAACCGGGTAAAAAATCACCGGAACACCGACTAGCACCCCACCTACGCAATGGGAAAACGGGCCAAGAAGATCAAGGCAGCCCTGGCATCGGGAACCCGTAATATTGGGGAATACATGCAGGGAAGCCTCCCGCGCGTGGCGCCCAAGATGGCGGACCCACATGCGGAGACCTCATCGGAGGAGGAAGAAACCTCCATGGACGCCCTAGACGAGATCCCACAAGCTGGAGGCCTATATACGGAATCCTCGGACGAGGAGAACAACACCCCGGCCACGAAGGGAGACATTAAATCACTCCTCCGCGACATCCGCAAGATGTTCCAGGCGGACCTTGCAATTCTGAGAGAGGACATGCTCTCACTTACAGGGCGCCTCAAGGCCGCAGAGGAAACATCGGCCCACATCAAAGCCGTGCAAACCACACTTGCCGCAGAGCAGAAACGGCTAACTGCCTCACAAGCAACTATGACACTAAAACTAACTGAATATGAAGACCGCAGCCGCAGCAAGAATATCAAGATTAGGGGTATCCCTACTACGATAGACAAGACTGAACTGCCGCAATACGTGGGGCGCTTGCTCCAGCAAATACTTCCCCACAAACAGGCTAAGAACATCCTGGTGGATAACATATACAGAATCCGCAGGCAGGGCAGACAGCCCCAACAGGCATCCAGCGATATCATTATACAGCTTGTCACACACCTGGACAAAACGGCGATTATGGCAGCGGTCAGGGATTTGCCGTTCCTGGCCTTCGAGAGGCACAACCTGACATTCTATAATGACCTCTCAAAACCCACCATGCAATGGAGGCAAACAATGCGCCCTATCACCAGCGTGCTGAGACGGAAGAAGATCCCGTACCGCTGGGGCACACCACGCTCCCTTCAGATCACCGCGGAGGGGATAACCCATACAATACACTCACCAGAGGAAGGCCAATTGTTTCTGACTCAACAGGGCATCACAACACAGAGGGAATCCAGAAGGGGCAGCCCTCGGAGACCACAATGGGATGTGGACAACATCGCCCCATTTGAACCACGGAGAGACCCCCACCTGCCTGAGGCAAGCCCAGGGGACTAAAAACAGAGACAACCGACGCATGGCCTCGTGAAAGGATGAGACTTAAATCCTGGTTTGGGATACATCAACCTTATACCTTTATGATTAACATATTGGAATGCACAGAAAGTCTAGCATGTTTAAAAGTTACAGGACTTCCTACTAACTCTCTACGATGGCAGGCGCCAGGTGGTAAATGCTGCTACTTTGTTTGTTCGTGCTCTGTGTGGTTACTCTGGGTACATTAACTTAGAATACCTAGTATGTGTACATGTTATATGACTTCCTGCTAATGACCAGAAACTGGCAAGCGATAGGCGATATGGGTCACTACCTTAAGGTGCTTAACTTGATTTTCTCTGCCTAGAATCTCGAATTATATTGTCTATTGTTCACGCATAGGCGCGACCACTCACGGTAACGGCCTAACAAGGCTCTACAAAAGAACCTGCTAAAAAGCGGTTAAACTAAGTATGGGCACCCCTGACGACCACAGTCGGCGGATTGCCTCGGTCACCCACAGCAGATCCCATTGACTGGCCCAATGCCACAAAGGTGGGGGACCACTGTAATGTGCCTCCCTAACGAACTTCACTTAGAAACCTAGTGAATTAGACCACGGCCGGTTACTCACTATAACGTGTTAACTAAGCACACACACCTGCTACCCTGCTGACAAACTAATTACAGTTTAGCGTATTCCCTTATCTTGATGTATTATACTCGACTACGTTATTGTCAATCCATATAGTATGTCTCAAACAATTCTACTGTTTTCTTGTTAAGCAACACTATATGCATCACTATGTTTATCTTTATCTTTAAAAATGTGCAGTACTACTACATGCCACAGTCTTACGCCTCTTGAAATGTCTGTATTTACTGTTGTGGCATGGCGAGCTTGTCTGTCAAACTTTTGCACAACAAAAATAAAGAATAAAAAAAAAAAAAAAGAAATGAGCCACTAGAAAAGTCAGCTCCCTGGAAGGATGTAGTTGGCTTTTCTCCTGGTTTATCAACCAGACGAAATGGGAGAGTGTTTCTAGAACCAGAGACCGATGCTGAATCAACAGGTTGTAATCTGGAGCAGTTATCAAAATGTCGTCCAAGTAATGGAAGATTGTGACTCCTTGTTTCCTCAGCAAGGCTATTATTGTAACCAGGACCTTCAAGAAAGTTCTGGGCGCAGTGCGTATGCCAAACAGTATGGCCCGAAACTGGAAATGATGGTTGTGAACACAAAACCTGAGAAATCTCTGATGAGGGTTGGCAATCGGGATATGATAATATGCGTCCCTCAAATCCACTGAAATCATCCAGTCTCCCTGATGAATCTCAAAGATTCCATGCAGAATTTCCTGATTCTGAGGAAGAGATTGAGCTGGTGTAAATCCAGAATCAGTCTCCATTTCCCTCCTGGAAAATGGAAGAGAGGGGAATAAAAGCCTTGCAATCTTTCCTCTTTTGGTACCGGAAGTACCACTTCCTGTTGAAGAGGGGATGAGAGGTACTGTAAAAGTGCCTCTCGTTTTTGAGGGCTGGAAGGTACTCGTGTTCTTATGAACCGCGGAGGTGGAATAGAGTCTTCGAACTCCAGGGTGTAGCCGGAAGACACTATGGCTCTTACCCACACATCCTGAATCATATCCCAGTTCTTCCTGAAGTGTAAGAGTCTTGCACCTACTATGGAAACCTGGGGACTGTAATCTTCAGAACTGTTTATTAGTACTAAAGGAAGATGAAGGATTCTTGACTCTGGTAGCTTTAGCTGACTGACCGCTTCTCCAGGTATTGTGTCTAGCATATTCTCTACCTGGTCGGTAAGCCTTACTCTCCCTATAGGAATTAGATTCTGTGTAGGGCCTTCGGTCTGGAAGAGGTTTCCTAGGTCTCTTGTCTTGAGGCAGAAGGACCTGCTTTGCATCCGCTGCCCTCCTAATGGAGTCTTCCAAGTGTTTGCCAAACAGAACATCCCCTAGAAAAGGCAAGGCACATAAATTGTGTTTAGATGCAATGTCAGCTCCCCAAGATCGTAACCATAGAGCTCTTCTTGCGGATACTGAATATCCCATAGATTTAGAAAGTACCCTAATCCGAAAGCCATTCACTGGCCAATTTCACTTCCTTTAGGGATTCCGAGATGTGGTGTCTTCTAACACCTCTATCTAGGTCTTCTTCGATATCCATCACCCATACTTTCATGGCCCTTGACATGGCTGAAATGGCTACTGCTGGATGACAGCCTAAGCCCGCTGTGACAAACAACTTTGAAAGGTTGGCATCAATTCTCTTGTTCATAGGATGCCTAAGAGAAGCATTACTATCAATAGGTAGAGTGGAGTGCTTGGCCACCTTGATAACTGGTGCATCTACCTTAGGATTGGAAATCCAAAGTTTTGAGTCACTCTCATTGATTGGGTATAGCTTTGGGAGGTGTGATTGCAAGGAGAATCTTTTTTTCTGGAGTGGCCCATTCAGTCTTCATAAACTCCTTAATAGATCTATGTACAGGAAACGAGACTCTTTTGCGGCTCAGACCCCCAAAAAATCTGTCTGATGCAGATGATTCTTGTACCTCTTCTGGAATCTCCAGTGTTCTCCTGACCAAGGAGATTAGATGCTCCATGGCTCTAGCATCCAAGGGGCATTGACTATTGAAGGCTTCCTCTTCACTGGAGGAAATCTGTTCCATCTCCCAGGCATCTCTAATGCCTTTGAATGACGATTCTGAAAGGAATCTTGTCTGGGTCTTTTGCCTCTAGTAGATTCGGCCATCCCTTCTGTCACTGCCTGTTTTATCCAAGTGGCAATATCTTGTGCAGAGGTTGAGGCCTGGGGTGCCTGATGTTGTTTGGATTCACCTGCAAGTAGGGCTAAGCATTTCCTGCAGAGCCTGCAATTCTCCAAAGGCCTTGCACCACATCCTGTGCAGGTCGCCGGCTTCTCCCTTCTCCGTGACAGAGATCTAGGGCCTGACCGGTCTTGAGGGCTGTAAAGACAGAAGTCATAAAGAGACTGTACCCTCTGTGCACTCTTTAGTAGTATTTCCAATAAATAAAAAAGTATTGCTCACCTATGACCTATTGCAAATGACTTGGCGGATATAGGAGAATGGCCCATAATGTTCTATGGGCTAAGGATAAGGATTACTTTAAATTGTTTCATATTGGGAAGCAAAATGCTTCTCTTACCTACAGCAGGCTGACTTTCTGGAATTCATAGCAGAAAACCACATAAAAATCGGATCTTGCAGTACAGAGAAAACTGACAATCTGTAAAAGCTCGAAACGTCAGTTATAAATTTTCACGCCTTGCGCCTTTAAATCTGTGTGCATTCGTGCACGGCCGGAAAAAAGACCTGACCGCTATCTTTAGAATTGGCGAACTAGGGTCATCCCGGCCTTGCTATTTGCGCATGCGCATGACTACTATACTCGAACGGAACGCCGTTCGTGTCAAATCTGACTCTAAGAATGTCAATATAGCCGGAAACCGGCAGAAGACTTACCAGAGGTTAGACACTTGCCGAACACCAACCTGTCAAGCCTGTCAGTATGGATTTGCAGGAGCAGGGTCCAAGGTGTACTGCAGAGATACTAATCTCTGCAGCCTCCAGGGGTTCCCATCTACTAAGAGGTGGGCTACATATTAACATGGAGCTTCCTGGGCAGGGAGGCTGACCTGCTCAGGGTGAAGACTACTACTATTGTCAGGTGAGCAAAAAGAAAAATTATATGTCCCTGGCTAAGAGGACAGGAAAAAAAGACTGAGGAACTGGGCTGACATTACAAAAAAGTATAAAGTGATTAAGCGAACATAAAGGAATGAATTTACCTTGTGAAATATATAAATATATATAACATAGGTTCCTTTTGTAGAACAATTCTTTAACCTATATAAAATAGATGTACATATACATAGTGTAATCTGTATTTATATAAAATATAATAGATAGAAGTAGTCTATAAACTCAGAATTTTTTGACCCTATTAAAAGTTGGCTCTGAACTTATAGAGCATTTCATCTCACTCCAGGAGATAAGTAAAGAGATATACAGGGAGTGCAGAATTATTAGGCAAATTAGTATTTTGACCACATCATCCTCTTTATGCATGTTGTCTTACTCCAAGCTGTATAGGCTCGAAAGCCTACTACCAATTAAGCATATTAGGTGATGTGCATCTCTGTAATGAGAAGGGGTGTGGTCTAATGACATCAACACCCTATATCAGGTGTGCATAATTATTAGGCAACTTCCTTTCCTTTGGCAAAATGGGTCAAAAGAAGGACTTGACAGGCTCAGAAAAGTCAAAAATAGTGAGATATCTTGCAGAGGGATGCAGCACTCTTAAAATTGCAAAGCTTCTGAAGCGTGATCATCGAACAATCAAGCGTTTCATTCAAAATAGTCAACAGGGTCGCAAGAAGCGTGTGGAAAAACCAAGGCGCAAAATAACTGCCCATGAACTGAGAAAAGTCAAGCGTGCAGCTGCCACGATGCCACTTGCCACCAGTTTGGCCATATTTCAGAGCTGCAACATCACTGGAGTGCCCAAAAGCACAAGGTGTGCAATACTCAGAGACATGGCCAAGGTAAGAAAGGCTGAAAGACGACCACCACTGAACAAGACACACAAGCTGAAACGTCAAGACTGGGCCAAGAAATATCTCAAGACTGATTTTTCTAAGGTTTTATGGACTGATGAAATGAGAGTGAGTCTTGATGGGCCAGATGGATGGGCCCGTGGCTGGATTGGTAAAGGGCAGAGAGCTCCAGTCCGACTCAGACGCCAGCAAGGTGGAGGTGGAGTACTGGTTTGGGCTGGTATCATCAAAGATGAGCTTGTGGGGCCTTTTCGGGTTGAGGATGGAGTCAAGCTCAACTCCCAGTCCTACTGCCAGTTCCTGGAAGACACCTTCTTCAAGCAGTGGTACAGGAAGAAGTCTGCATCCTTCAAGAAAAACATGATTTTCATGCAGGACAATGCTCCATCACACGCGTCCAAGTACTCCACAGCGTGGCTGGCAAGAAAGGGTATAAAAGAAGAAAATCTAATGACATGGCCTCCTTGTTCACCTGATCTGAACCCCATTGAGAACCTGTGGTCCATCATCAAATGTGAGATTTACAAGGAGGGAAAAACAGTACACCTCTCTGAACAGTGTCTGGGAGGCTGTGGTTGCTGCTGCACGCAATGTTGATGGTGAACAGATCAAAACACTGACAGAATCCATGGATGGCAGGCTTTTGAGTGTCCTTGCAAAGAAAGGTGGCTATATTGGTCAATGATTTGTTTTTGTTTTGTTTTTGAATGTCAGAAATGTATATTTGTGAATGTTGAGATGTTATATTGGTTTCACTGGTAATAATAAATAATTGAAATGGGTATATATTTGTTTTTTGTTAAGTTGCCTAATAATTATGCACAGTAATAGTCACCTGCACACACAGATATCCCCCTAACATAGCTAAAACTAAAACAAACTAAAAACTACTTCCAAAAATATTCAGCTTTGATATTAATGAGTTTTTTGGGTTCATTGAGAACATGGTTGTTGTTCAATAATAAAATTAATCCTCAAAAATACAACTTGCCTAATAATTCTGCACTCCCTGTACTCAGCAGTCACATCCACAGGAACTTAGTGATGTCAGCAACTAAGATTCCAGGATCTATAAGTTCAGAGACAACTTTTAATAGGCTTAAAAAATTGTGATAGACTACTTCTATCTATTATATTTTATATAAATACAGATTACACTATGTATATGTACATCTATTTTATATAGGTTAAAGAATTGTTCTACAAGAGGAACCTATGTTATATATATTTATATATTTCATAAGGTAAATGCATTCCTTTATGTGCGCTTAATCACTTTTTACTTTTTTGTATTATCACGTGTTTTTAAGTGTAATATAGTGACATTGCACTTGGTGGTTTTTAGCAGCACTAATCACTTTCTTCTAAAATCTAGCGCTGCTTTATCTTTTGTATCTTTGTATAGAGCCTGATATACCTGTCCTCTTAATTGTTTAATTGAGGTTTTCCCTGTCATATTGGCTAGAGGGAGGAGCTAACCCATAGGTAAATGCTGCCATGATTAGCCAGGAAAAGAAAGCATTCAATTCAAAGTCTATATTAAAGGACCACTCTAGGCACCCAGACCACTTCAGCTTAATGAAGTGGTCTGGGTGCCTGGTCCAGCTAGGGTTAACCCATTTTTTCATAAACATAGCAGTTTCAGAGAAACTGCTATGTTTATGAATGGGTTAAGCCTTTTTCTCTCCTCTAGTGGCTGTCTCATTGACAGCCATTAGAGGCGCTTATGCGTTTCTCACTGTGAAAATCACAGTGAGAAACGCCAGCGCCCTATGTGATCGTGAATGCGCTACAGTTTTGCCAAGCAAGCATTCAGCACGGGAGGAGAGGAGGAGGATCGGAGGAGAGCTCCCCGCCCAGCGCTGGAAAAGGTAAGTTTTTACCCCTTTCCCCCTTCCAGAGCCGGGCGGGAGGGGGACCCTGAGGGTGGGGGCACCCTCAGGGCACTATAGTGCCAGGAAAACGAGTATGTTTTCCTGGCACTATAGTGGTCCTTTAAGACTTCCTGGCACCAAGGAATTCAGCTGGAAGATGCACTTTGCCTCTGCTCTGTCTAGTGCTATTTCCAAATCATCCCCTCTCCAATGCTTATTGATTAGTTCTATAGCCATAAGTCTTAAACCTTCCGGGTTCTTCGAATGATGTATCCAAAAATGTCTGTAACGATTATACGTAAGTAGCCCCTCTTTGATGTTATAAATGCGCTCTCCTCAGGGCCGGTGCAAGGATTTTTGCCGCCCTAGGCCCCATGTGACATCACAATGCTCCACCCATATGATCTGCCATGTTAACTACCAGTGCTGCAGTGCCGCCGTGTTTACATTATAAGGCATGCAGGGACAGGCTATAGACATCAGAACAACTACATTAAGCTGCAGTGGTTCTGGGGACTATAGTGTCCATTTAATGTGAGGTAAATTAGAGCTTAGTGCCACAAATAATATACTAGATTGCCTACTTACAACCAGATGAGGATGATGATGGGCTCTAGCTGCAGTCTGGCTCCACTGGTCTGGTGTACAACAGGCTCTCTGGAGGCTGTTTGTAACTGTGGTCACAAAAATCAATGTTCTGGGAGAACGGGAAGCAGCTCCATTTTTGGGGGGCCCTTTACACAGCTTAAGGTCTGGGTCCCAGGGTCCACCTTCATGTTCCACCAATGAGTTTGTTCACAGGGGGTGGAGTGTGTAGGGGATGTCCTGATATGTGTGTAAGGAATGAATCTGTGTTTGTATGTGTAAGGGCTGCAAGGTGTGTTTCTGTGTATGTACAGGATGCAGTGTGTGCGTGTGTAAGGGGTGCATTGAGTGTCTGTAAGGGGTGCATTGAGTGTGTGTAAGGAATGCATTGTGTGTTTGTGTGTGTGTAAGGGAT